CTTTCCACAGAACAACTGTGTCAACTCTTGAAACTGTGCCTGCAGTCAACCTACTTCACATATGGGGAGCAATATTATAGGCAGAAACATGGGTGTGCTATGGGGTCTCCAGTTTCTCCTATTGTTGCCAACCTGTACATGGAGGAGGTAGAAAAGAGAGCCTTGACGTCCTTTTCAGGGACACCACCAAGTCATTGGTTCAGGTATGTTGACGACACCTGGGTTAAAATCAAATCTCAGGAAGTCCAACATTTTACTGACCACATCAACTCTGTGGATAAATACATCAAGTTCACACGAGAAGATGTAAAAAATGGCAGGTTGGCTTTCTTGGACTGTGAGGTCTCAGTCTCTGATAGAGGACATTTGCAAACCGAGGTGTACCGCAAACCCACCCACACGGACCAGTATTTGCAGTTTGACTCCCATCACCCTTTGGAGCACAAGTTAGGAGTCATCAGGACTCTGTACCACAGAGCAGACAGCGTCCCCACTAGCTCAGGAGCCAGGCAGAAGGAGAAATCCTACACAAGACAGGCTCTAGAGCAATGTGGATATCCTAACTGGGCCTTCCTGAAAGCAGAGAAGAAACCCAAACAGGACTCCAGTCAGCCATCAGGTGAAAAGGAGGAACCCAGACCAGTGGTCATTCCAGATGTTGAGGGAGTATCAGAGAAACTGAGACGTTTATTTTCTAAACATAACGTCCCAGTGGCTTTTAAACCCCAAAATACATTAAAGACTGGTTCATCCCAAAGATCCAGTCCCCCGGCACAAACAGAGCAATGTTGTGTATGCTGTTCAGTGTCAGGAGGGTGATCAGTCTTACATCGGGGAAACTAAACAGCCACTGGCCAAAAGGATGGCCCCGCACAGAAGATCAACATCATCAGGCCAGGACTCTGAGGTCTACACTCATCTCCAGGCCAGAGGTCACTCTTTCAGGGATGAAGATGTGCACATCCTGGATAGAGAGGAACGATGGTTTGAGAGAGGAGTAAAGGAGGCCATCTTTGTGAAAAGAAACCGTCCATCATTAAACAGGGGTGGAGGCCTCCGGGTTCAACTGTCCCCCTCTTACAATGCTGTGATTGCTAGTATCACTCAGCCCTCTGTGAACAGTAAACAGCCATCAGTGTGCTAATGATCCATTGTTAGGCTGATGGTCCTTCTTGAGCATGTGATCAGCTGGTTTTGGTTGTCAGCAGCAAAACTGGTTGATCCACTCTGAGATGGTGCTATTTAAGAGACTGAGCTGAATACAGCTCCTCAGACTGAGGAAGTCTCTCGGATGAGAGACAAAACGTTTCTACATTTTTTTGTTGATTTGCTTTGTTTTGTTTTTTGAATGTCCAGAGGACCAGATTTAACTTTTTTAGATATTACCAAGTCCTTAATCTCTACACCATAGGTCAGAACTAAATCAAGAGTGTGATGATAAGAATGAGTAGATGTGCGGACGTTTTGGGTAAAACCAAATGAGTCTATTAAATTATTAAAGGCTATGATTAAACTATCACTCTCAACATCCACATGAATATTGAAATCATCCATTATGATGATTTTATCAGTATTTAATAATAAGTCAGTTAATAATTCTGATAATTCAGGCAAAAACTGAGAGTAAGTGCCTGGTGGACGATATAGAACAACTAGTAAAAGCGGCTTTTCTGATTTCCATTTTGGATGAGAAAGACTGAGGGACAGCAATTCAAAAGAATAATAACTAATAACTGGTTTGGCATTAATCAATAATCCTGACTGAAAAATAGAAGCTACTCCTCCACCTCGGCGAGTTGTTCTAGGATAAGACCCGTTTAAAAACCCACTACTATTTAGTAGCTTTCAACACCACTTGCTCTAGCCGAGATTGGATGCTTCCCTCCCTCTCCTCTTCGCTGCTCTGTCTGTCTGTGAAATTGCTGTGAGCCTCTCTTGCATTTATTCCGAACCATAATTATGGACTGTTTTGACCAGTTGGTCCCTCAACTCAATTTATAACATTTCTTCAAGAGAAGGCAGGCTTTAGGCGAGCCGATTTACCCTGTTGGCACGCAGCTGGATATCTCATCGACTGGAAGACTTGATGATGTGTCCATCTCTGCTGCCATCTGTGGATTTTAAGGACGCATATTTAATTGGATTTTCGATAACTGGTTCTTACTATTTTAGATTCAGCTGGTGCTGTTTTTTTCTACAATCAAGGAAGTTGTCAGCAGCAAATTTGGACCTGATCACGCTGCTTGCCTTTATAATGGCTGGGTTTGTGTCTGGAGTACCCAGACTCAAATGCTTTGGGCTGAATGGATCAGATCTTGGGGATTTTACTCAGTCACGGTCCATCGGTGTGGCCGTGTAATTTGGACATTTTGGAACCGAGTGGACCAACACAGACTCAAGGTAGACGTCATTAAGTTCTGCCTGTACCCAAAACAACTGTGTGTTTATCTAAGTTGGCTCCCTTGGCTGGTCTTGAAGGCCATCTTATGTGAATTCACCTGGAGAAAATGTGATCTGATGCTCACCACCCCCTCCCTGAGGAATTTCCAACTGATAACCAGCTGAACCAGCTGAAAAAACTTTGTGTCATACCATACCATACCATACCAATTTATTTATATAGCACTTAAAACAGCAACAAGGCCAACCAAAGTGCTGTACAAAAGAACACAAACATGCACAGCAGACAGGAAAACATAAAATAGAAATACAGATACAAATAGCAGCAGAAGCTAACTAAAATGGCCAACAGAGTAGAGAACAGACCGGACCAAAACAAATCACACCGTGTTAAAGGCAAGCGAATAGAAGTGGGTCTTCAAGCGAGACTTAAAGACTGAGAGTGTGGGAGCCTGCCGGACACTCAGTGGCAACTCATTCCACA